AAAGAGGGAGGGAGGCAGGGAGAAGACTGGAATAGAAAGGAGGTAGAGGAGGGGAAAGCTTTGTGGTCTATCAATAGGAAGACACAGAATCAAAAAGTGAGGTCTGAACTAGACTCTGATATCAATCAGCTATTTCTTCTAGATAATGAAGAGAGCTGACACAGTGAACATGGAAAAACCCATACATAGTTATATAAAGTTCTACTCTGAAAAGAGCTCTAAGGTTTCTCACAAAGCTTACTGTTCTATGCTTATAAAATTTTACTCTAGCCATTAAAGTCACCTGCTGAGAAGGTGAGCAAGAATAACTGGGACTTTGAGCCATGTAGGGCTGTTTAGGTCAGATAAAAGAACGACAGCAGCAAAGGCCCAGCAGAGGTTACACCAAATTAAAGGTTAACAGTTTCAGCTGAGTTTTGAGATAACACTTTAAAAGCTACTATTTTAAGTTAAAAGTAAAAGTTATACAGCAAAAAGACATTAAAATTGGCAAAAGCAGAACTATATTCTTTTTATTTTTTTTTAAGAGAATTTTTTTGCTATAGGGTGTGTGCACTTGCCGGAGAGATGGAGAGACAGAGAGACAAAAAACAAGAAATCACTCCCCAGAGGGTAAGGCCATGCCACAATCCCTTCTCCTCCATTCGCCTCTCAGGATTTTGAGCAGGCACACACACATGCACACATACCTGGCGTGAGTTTTAAACTGCTGGTCCGGGCCTCAAACCACGGACAACTACATGGGAGTCCAGTGAAGTAATTATGCCATCAGCTGATCTCAGAAGAACTATATTCTACTTCTAGCCCTACCTTTAACATCTTGAACACTAAGATTCTAGGCAAGTTATTTTAATTGTCTGTCATGTTAAACTAGGGATAAACACAGGTATCTCTACCTCTCTAATACAGAGGATGTGAAAGTTAAGTCAGGTGGCATAAGTTAGGAGCTAAATTTCCTAAGAGCAATCACCACAACTGTCTTGAACAAAGCTGTACCCCCAGGCAATCAATGAATATTTAATTCTTGTAAAACTCAGTTAAAAACAAGAATCTCTGTGAAAGATACTAGTGACAAGCAATCAAAACATACTAATGAGACATAAGAACATGCAGACGTAAGAACTGCGATCACCATCAGAAAGGGGGAATGTGACAGCAATTTCCTACCTGGTTGCTTGGATCGAGGCCAGCATAAGAATTCCTTGAACTGCAACCAACTGGAGGTGTGGCCTCTCGAATGAACTCAGACATTTCAATCCCCCCACCAGGATCACTGAGGGGGAAAAACGAGAAAAAGAAGGTAACTGTCATTATTCTGATGCCAGTCTTTCTATTTACTATTTTTTTTTAAAGCTGTATTTCTCTCTGGAAAACTAAATGATTTTGATTTTTAATAAAATGAACAGAAAAAAGAATAGTAAGAAACAGTAATTCTTCATTTATAAGTCTTATCATTAAAACTAATTTATACCCACATCACTATTTGCAAATATTTAAAACTCTTAACCCAAACTGTCTACCCCAAATCCAGTATTAGGAACTGACCTTAATTATAATTATAGCATACTAAATATTTTATGATATGTGCCATAAAACTACTCTACCAAAGAAACGACTGCCTTTTATTTCCCAAGAGCAAAGAGGAATTGGTCGCTGAAACACAGAAAGTATTAAGAGACCACATTAACTGATGGCTCTAGAAGGCAGCCTGGCTGAGCTGTGTGACACTATGATGAACTTTCCCGAGAACAGTCACCCAGGTCAAGCTATTTGTACCTGCATTTTTTAAGAAAACAGAATTTAAGCAGGATATTAACTTGTCTTACAAAACTGAAAAACTTAAGGTTTTTATATTTGTGTGTGTCAGTTAAAAGACATATAAGTTAAACAGTAAAATGAGGGCCAGCCTGTGGTGTGGTGATTAAGGTGACCGGATCCTGCATGGCTGACCGTGCAGTTCAAGTTCCGGACCTGATGGCTTGAGAAACATGCCAGGCACATGCATGTTCACACCCAAAGTCCTCAAAGGAGGAAGAGGTGGAGTAGAAGAAGAGTATGGCATGACCATTCCCCATGGGAGGATGCCTTCTAGCTTCCGCCCCCCCCACCTCCCCACCCCGTGAGTGCACCTGCCCTCTGACACATTAAAAAAACAAACAAACAAAAACTAGTAAAATGATGCTAACTGGTAAGAACAGGATTTAAAAATTGCACCACGTTTTTAATTCATGCTACCTGGTATAAACAGAGTAAGTACTCAATAAATTTTTTAGCTGTTATTATCAAGACAAAAATTCTAGTATCTATGCTAGACATTATAGTGAATATAAACTATCTTGTCATTCAACATCTAACTAAGCTTTCTTATTACAAAAAGAAAAAAATAAAGCATCCCAGGCCCAGCCACAGCGGCACAGCAGGAGCGACTGCTCTGCAATGCTGGCGGCAATAAGGAAGACAGGGGCTCAGTTCCCAGTTCAGCCTGTACACAGTGGGCACGTGGTGCCCCTGGGATCCTGGCTGGGGAAGGAAGGACAGAAAGAAGGGAGGGAGATGGCATGGAGGTTAAGGTGACTGGATCCCCACATGGCCAACTGCAGTTGTGTCCCAGAGCCAGCAGTTTATAAAACAGCCAGGCACATGTGAGTGCATGCCCAAAATCTCAGGGGGAGAATGAAGGAGAAGGGACTGTGGCATGGCCATCAGCCCTGAGGTTCAGGGATACATTCTTACTTTCCCTCTGTCTTTCTCTCTGGGAGCACACACCTCCTAGAGACAAAACAAATTTAAAAACCAAAACAAACAAGGACCAGCAGTTAGCGTAATGGCTATGTCGCTGGACTCCCATGTAGTTGACCACGGTTCGAGTCCCGGACCAGGTGGCTTAAAATTCACACCAGGCACGTGTGCATGTATGCCCAAGGTCCCGAGAGGAGAATGTAGGAGTAGGGATTGGGGCATGGCCATCCCTCCTGGGGGGGGATTTCTTGCTTTCTGTCTGTCTCTCTGGCGAGCGCATGCACCCTATAGCAAAAACCTCTCAAAAAAAAAAAGAAAAAAGAAAAAACCCAGAAACCAAACCAAATCATAATTCTTCATGTGAACCATGTCATCCCAAACTTTCATCAAGTTTTTGGGTACTGTTGACCCTACCTTCAGGTTTTAAGAGTAGGCACCACTAGTCAACACCAGTCAGCATTTCCCAATTCTTCCAGTCATTGAGATTAGTTCTAGAATAAGCACATGACCCAACTGAGGCTAGTATTACACACGACAGGAGCATTCTATTGTTGAGAGAGGAAATTTCTGCATATCCCCTAGTCCTGATGTTGCAACTTAAAGCCTGTGACAAGGCAGTCATCTTACAACCATAAGGCACAGCTTGTCTAAGAAGACAACTAATAGAAAGAAAAAAGTCTGGCTAAAAGAAAGGAAGCAGAGTTATAAAGTGATTGTTTGAACATCTGCATTCTCACACATCTGAAAACACCCCTCACGTGCTGACTTTTCAGAAATGGGAGACATTTCTTAAGCCTGTTTGGGTGGTGTATTCTGACAGCTGCAGTCAAGAAGTACGGGTAAAACAGAATTTGCTTGCAAGCTTACCTTCTACTTAAATATCACAAGAGCAGTTAGAATTCTAGTATTTTATTATTAATGATTTCAAACTATAATGTCCCTGTTTAATGGGTACCTAACTCTAGGCCACTGACTCTACTTAGTTAACTAGTGTCTCAAAGGGAAAACTAGCTTTCTAATTATATCAATTTATAAAAAAATAAAAGAAGGGACCAGCAAGTAGCATGGTGGTTAGGGCACTGGACTCCCACATGGCCAACACTGGTTCAAGTCCTGAACTTGGTGGCTTGCTTTCTCATTCCTCTTCCCCACCGTCTATCTCTGGTGAGTGCATGTGCCTAGTAGCAAATTTTAAAAAATAATAATAATAAAAAATAAAATTAAATAAATGTTTCTTTTTAAAAAAGAAAAGAAATAAGCATATTGGAACTTACAAATTTAATAGCATCTTGGTATATACATGCCTATGTGTGAGAAAAGTGGAATATGCTCAAGCTTATCAGGTGTTTGGTGTTAACTCATACAAGTTACATAGGCCAGGATGACAACATCTTTCTAAATTAGAAAAGCCTTGTCTGGAGAAGCAACTGTAATCATACTGAATTAGCAACAAGAAATAATACTGTTTTCTCTACTTGAAAGCATATTAAGTCAGACCCACAGAGATCATAGACAGAGGGCAAAATGAAGCTCATGAAATAAAACACTCATCACAGTACAGAAAGAACAGAGAACCCTCATCTGGCCTACTTTATACCTAACAGCTTTATCTATATATATGCCATATACATACAAATCTTCTTTGTAAATTGTATAATTTGGGGCCAGCAAGTGGCATAGTGGCTAAGGCACTGAACTCTCATGTGGCCCACTGTGGTTCAAGTCCTGGACCTGGAAGCTTGAAACTTACTTTGGGTATGATTACTTGCGTGCCCAAGATCCCCAGAGGAGATGGAAGAGAAGGAACTGTGGTATGGTGATCCCCCCAGGGGGTGTTTCTTTCTTTCTCTCTCTTTCTTTCTCTCTC